AGCCAAATGATCTACAAGGTGGAATTTGCGAAAACGATTTTATGCTTAATGTCAGTCTGCGACCCAAGACGTCTTTTACTGGACCTCCAGGGATCATTATTTCAATAAAGCACCGCTATCATCTAATTCGATTGGAGAAGCAAGAAATAGACAAACAAACTCGGTCTTATCCTCAATGATTATATTTTCTAGTACAAACGACAATCAAAAGTAAAAAAATAAACTCTGTAATTCGCTTCCTAATATCGCCCTGACTATTGAGTAAGACTAAAATATTTCGACCTCGTACACCATAAGCATAACATTTCCGTAGAAATAAGTGATCAATAAAAATAACCAAGTAATCCCCTTCAACCGGTCATGTAATTGTGTTGTGATTAGATTCCTCGACCTTGCACATTATAAATATAAGAGTAAGACCTCGTACTAATATGTATTTCACTCTAACTGGCAGAAAGAACAGTGAGATGTTCTAAGAAAATTTTAAGACTGTCGCCCATAGTTTATTCTCAGAATTGTAAAAGTTTCGCCCACTGAAATATCATTAATAACGTATCATTTCGACATATGACATGATAGTACAGGGAAATCCGTCTGAAAAATCGATTTGCCGATACACAAAGCTTACAAAGGATTTTTGACGTTTATGAGTCCTAATAGATGTCCTTTTAGTTAGCAACAAAAGATGTAAAATTGCAGCCAGATATTTGACAGAAGTTGTACCATATAATAGGATCAAATACAAAATACGTTCGCTTTCAGCTTCCTAAGATTATTCTGTAATCACAACAAACTTTCGCTTACATGTCCAATGCTCATTGCTGTTAAAGGGTATAATAGTACAGGGAAAATGGAAATCCGTCTGAAAAAATCGATCTGCCGACACACAAAGCTTACAAAGGATTTTTGACGTTTTTGAGTCCTAATAGATGTCCTTTATGGCTGACCAACTTTTCCAAACTTTTCCACGTGTCTTAAGGCCACTTTTTGCCACTTAACCACTTTTTACCACCTTTCTTGTTTGTCAAATATCTTTAGTTGTGAACATCGTAGAAAGTTGCAGATTAATCGAGGGTGTTCATATTATCAGGAAGAAAAACTTTTGTAGAGACAATTTTTACCTCAGATAATCAATTAATTGGATAATTATCAATTAGCTTATTAGCAAAAATTTAAAATATTTTTATTGGCTCAAAATGATCGGAATAGCTTAAAACACGGAGAAAAGTAGTTTTTACAAAAACTTTCACAGCATTTTTTTTCGACAAAAGTTATTTAATTGCATGAAACATGGAGAAAAATGCTTTTAAAAAAAAACTTCGTGAATTTTTGTTTTCAAGAATACTAAAATCACTTACATTTGTAGTTGGAGTTCAGTAAATCTCGGAGTTTCACAATTAATTACAGTACATGCAAAGGGGATGGACTCGAAAAAGTTTTGACTTAAAAAAATATTCGGTCCGAGTCATTCTCGATAAGTCGATTCGTACCTCATGTATCGAGAGCTCCCGCTTCCGAGCTCGTGTTGCAAAGGGGAATGCGGAGGCCTGCCTTCCGAGATCGCATAACCAGGGGAAGCCTCGAGTCCAAAATTATGTATTGAGGGGTGGGTGCGGACTTTGAAAAACCGAAAAATATTTTCGGCTAATAATGAACAGGGTAGCATGAAACGTGGAGAAAAGTGTTTTTCCCAAAAATGTTTAGAAACCTAAATAAAAAAGTTGGCCCTTTTTGGCCCCTTCACCCTTGCCCAGATTTTATGGGGGCGATCGCCCGCCTGTCCTCCCCCCTTCCTGCGCCCCTGTCAAAACTGCTTGATCAGATACGACAGTTGCGCCCAATCCATATATTGAAATCCCTCCGATTATAAGTGAGTTATTGAGGATAATATGCGATTCTTCAGGGCGGACTGTAAGATGGCTCCCCCCCCCCCCCCGCACAGCGGGGTCAGCGGGGCCCTACTGTGTGACCTCAAGACATTTAATCGCTAGAATTGCAGATCGCCTGATCAATTATCCAATTTGAATTAATTGATTATCTGAGGTAAAAATTGTCTCCACAAAAGTTTTTCTTCCTGATAATATGAACACCCTCGATTAATCTGCAACTTTCTACGATGTTCACAACTAAAGATATTTGACAAACAAGAAAGGTGGTAAAAAGTGGTAAAGTGGCAAAAAGTGGCCTTAAGACACGTGGAAAAGTTTGGAAAAGTTGGTCAGCCATAAAGGACATCTATTAGGACTCAAAAACGTCAAAAATCCTTTGTAAGCTTTGTGTGTCGGCAGATCGATTTTTTCAGACGGATTTCCCTGTACTATAATTGTTGAAAGTTATTGCTGTATAATTAGGGTAAAGATTTTTGGGCTTTAGCCACCAGGTGAAGAGACCCAAATTAAAAGATTGGTAAAATGAAAATAAGCTCATTGGCATATTCGATCAATAATAATAATATTGAGATTTTCTGCTTCACCAATATAACCAAATTAAAATGATCTAATACTTTACTTAAACATTTGACGAATTCCTGCATGAGTCTGCACGAAGGATTGCTTTCTCTTCATCTTATAACTTAATAACATACCTTTCCAGCCATCAAGGCTGCAAGCTATACGATTTTCAGGTTCAGAGCGAGAAGACCTGCCACCACTGATGATCTAATAATCCCAAAAAGTGTTTGATAATGCATTTTGTATTAACCCCCATCAAAGTGACAGTGAAATAGAAAACGAAATGCGTGACTATATTGATAAAGCGATGTTGTTACAAATTGAGATTGAAAAGAGAAGCAAAAACACTTCAGTTATTATAAAGTTATAATAGGCACTGAGAAATTCTTAACATATATATTGTTACGAAATATTTTGCATTCCAGAAAATAATAATCAGTCGCGGATAAAATACAGGGGGTGGGACCAAAAGTCAGTACCCACTACCCATACGTTGGCCTTAATAATAATAGCTCAGTCACTGAGTGCCCAATTTAAATAATTCTTTTTGGTATGACTTACTACCACCACTGGTTCGAGGAATTTTTCAAATCGAAAAATATTCGAGTTCATTTTTTTCAAATGAAGGTTCATTTTCGCATTTTATATTTGATAGTTTAGATAATCGGATCGAACCAAATTTTATTGAATTGTGTTTGGTCATTTAAATTAAGGTTGTCCTGAAACAATGAGAAGTATTTATAGTATTCAACCTTCCTGACCCAATAAAGTGAGTAAAAATGAACTGAGGTTTGTTGCGTGATATGACTATAAACAGGATTAAACAGGATTAAACAGGATTAAACATGAAATTACCAGAGAGAACACTAACGGACTCGTCTTGGCTATACAAGAATGAATAAATCAATAAATAAAATTATCAAAACTGAATTATTTAAAAATAGTAAAATTTAACCGTTTACAATTTCACGAAAATAAAAGAAGATCGTCTATAATAATTTAAGGTAATACAGTAAATAAAGTTCGAGTACGAGGATTATGACTTATTCTTAGGATTTCGAAGGTTTGAAGAGTCTGTTATGTATTTCCCGAGTCATTAGTCAACTTGCAGCTACTTTTTTTAGAAAAACCAGAGTAATACCAGACCACACCTACACATGGCCCATAGCCAGCTGCTGGTAATACAGAAAAGTAACTTCACAGTCTGTTTCGGGGACATGGTTGGTATTTGGTGACAGGTCGGTTGTTATTAATATTATATATATTTTATATAAATATTATGAAACGTTATCTTTGACATTAAATTAGAAAGTTTTGAACTTAAAATATGCCTGCTGAACTACTTTCGGTGGATCTTACTGTCTTAATGCCTCAAAAAAGTAAAGGGGGTAAATAGTATAGGGGGTAAATAGTATGGTGAGTATAAGGGCGGCGGTTGTGCTTGCCAGCACTGTGATACTGATAAGACTTCAAACTTAGAAATTTTGAAATCGTATTATCCCATTATCAAATATTCAATATTAATCAAAGTTACCTAGTGAACACACTAATCGTTATTTTATCATGTACTTTCATCTTCGCCGAACATGATTAGAGATTACAATTACATGCCAAAAGTAGCAAGCAGAAGTTGTAGTAGTTGTGCAATGTTCCCTTTGTCTAGTTCGTCAGTTGTTTTGTCGTATATTTTAATTCGCTAGTTTCTGACAATTACGAAAAGATTTTTTTGATTTGCTCAATTAACCCTAAAAATAAACAAACAGGGAAATGTTTTCACTTGTCATTATTTGTCTGTTTGTCATGATCAAACGTCGAGTTCTTGCGCAAAGTTCCACCGAATTTCCCGTCAGTATCATGATCGATGGGGAACTTGGCTTGGATGGAGGTAAGAATACAACTACAAGTAAGCTATTATAGGTTTTGATTCTTAAATACACTGTTCAATGGACATGCTTTAGTGCTCGATATTATTGCGAGCTTAAATCAGCAAGCAAAATATTCACTGTTTTTATGATCACGATTTATCTATTCTTCAGGCCATCGTATAAATTCATCATAATTATATGATATCGCTTCTAGTTCTACTAATTCCACAGTAGATAGATAATATTATATTTATATTATAGTTCTACTATTTCTACAGTTGATAGTATTATTATATATTATAGTGGTATCTAATACATTTACTGGCACCCAATGTGAATTTAAATGTTTCCTTAACTAAAGATATGAAACGCAGTACATCAAATAAGAATTCACAAATGACAATGAATAGGAGAAGTTCACACTTTACTGCTTATATTTAATAGTTATATACGTGCCTCATGTGATTTGCCTGTAACTTGCCCGTGACTTGCCCGTGACGTCAAGTGCCTGTGACTTGCTTGTGACTTGCCAGTACTGTTTTATCTTGTAGAAAATAACTCAAACGTTAAATTTTAATACTTTCATCTTAGTCATACATGATTAATAATTACTACATGCAAAAGAAGCAAGCAGGAGACAAGCAATACAGCATTATCATAGTAGCTCGTGGTTGAGTAGGTACTTTGCCTAGTTCGGCAGTTTTCTGTCGTATATTTTAATTTGCTATCTTAATTCCAATAATCATACGAACAGATTTTTCTAATTTGTTTAACCACAAAAATAAACAAGCAGGGCAATGTTTTCCCTTGTCATTATTTGTCTGTTTGTCATGATAAAACGTCGAGTTTATGCGCAAGGTTCCATAAGTGACATCGATGGGGAACTTGGCTTGGACGGAGGTAAGAAAACAAATAAGTTATACTTATAGGTTGTGATTCTTAAAAACAGTACTGTTCGACGAATATATTTTAGCGCTCGATATAGTAGTGATCTTGAGTCGACAGGTAGACAATAAAATAATTTAATATAAGTAAAGAGTCAAGTCTTAATCAAAATTTAATTTTATTTAGAAACGTATAACTATAAGTATAAAGCACTGTACTAGTGGTTTCTTGATTATAGTTAACTTTTATTTCAGGGACAGCATGGTGGGAAAACGATGAGGAAGTGGATGCTAGAATATCACCTTTCTTCCCTTTTAAAGCAAAGCTTTACATCGAAATGCTTGGTTCTGGAATCTTGGAGGGAGAAGTAGTTAATTTCACAATTGAAGTCAGCTTACAGGAGTTAATAGACTCATTTGGTCAGGGTGGATCGACGTATTCCAACCTAACTAGCATTTATTTTACTCTACAAGCAGATGAATGGGGAGTAATAAAATCAAGTTTGGTCGTATTCGTCCTTGAACCGAACGAACTAATTACAGGAGAAAATCGTATAGAATGCTTTGTAACACAGAAAATGATCATTACTGAGACCATAGAAATAGACTTTGTAGCTGAACTGTTAACAATTGATGGAATGCAAGGGTTAAGTTGGAAGAACATTGGTGGCGGTGACTGTGGGATACAACAGTTTTTGGGGGAAAACATTCTGCGAGAGGAGCAGACATACAGGGTTAACTTAGTGTTGGAGTCACTGACTGAGGGATATTCGCCTTCACAAGTCAACGAGAAGCTTGGATTTACGTATGAAATGATCGGTGTTCGAATAGGTAGTATATCATACTTAACTTTCCATACATATCATTACACATTCAATGCAGACCATTGTATATTGTCAGCATATAGTTATATTTATTATTATATTACTATTATTATACTAGTACTGAATACTATATATTATGATCTTATGATGGTGGCTTTGCATGTTTCCTTAACAACAGATATGAAACCCAGTATATATCATTATCAATGAGAAGTGACGGTAGACGAGGCATTCTTGACTGTAATTACTGGCCAGTCTGCGGTGGTAGCTGTAAAAGTTAAAATGACGTGGGACCACTTAGCGGAAAGTTAGCCGTTTATAGATGGAGGTGAACACAGAACGAAAGTGGAGACAAGGAAACCAAGTTTCTGTTAAACTTTGGTTGGATGTCCGCCAAAAGACAAAACGAAATTGTAAGTTAATATTGACTTCCATACCAGTACCACCTTACTGGGCCGCGCTCAGCCTGTCATTCCGCCAAATCTATATTAATGAACATAATAGCCTGGGGTCCTCAGGTAAGTACCACCGGCACCTATATGGTAGTACTACTTGAAAGTGCATAAGTAAGGGATTTTTGGTAATCTGTTGATGAGTAGAGAAATTGATGACTTATTATTTCTCAATATCTTATTTCAGGATGAACCATTATTCAATAGAACGATAAATGAGTATGACGGAGTAGTTTAGGAGTAGCAAGAACTTGGAATGACTGAGAGGGAGACTGAGAGGATGTGATCGCTCAAAACGATTTTTGAGCGATCTGCACAATGATATTATTTCATTTCTGCACAACGATATCATCAAATTCAGTGTTTTTATACTCCAACCGGGCAATGATAGCGATAACTTTCCATTTAAATTTCATGTTTTCAATTGATGATTATGACATTGATAATTAAGTAGTATTTAATTTTTTTATAAAATGCGAGGCTTTTATTTTTAGATTAATAGCGGGTATCTATCAGTATCAAGCAGCATATTTTAAAAGATAAACTGTAATTTAGGGTTTTTGTTTAAAAATAATAAAAAGTTAAACTACAGTTTTGGTTTATAATTATACTTATAGCTCCAGTCTGTATTCACAATATTATAATATATTATTTGGACAGTTGTAATACAATTACATATATTTGATAATTGATATAAATTGTTAAAACTCAACTGTAAAAACGTTAAAAAGTTAAAATGGTGAAATAAAGTTACAATATAATTCGAAACTATGGAAATTAATCATTACCACAATTAAATTCAAATAACACCCACTTTATATTGACCATATTTTGGATCATAGCTAGTTAATAGACTTTACTAGTTACACTTACAGTAATAGTATGAAATCAATAAATTAAAATGAAAATATCGACACTCTGTCGCAACTACAATTAGTACAATCGTGGAAATATTACTATTTACTAATTCTAGACTTTAAGTTCAACTTTAACTAAGCCGCGTCAAGTAATTTAACTTAACCCTTCCGTGTACATATAAAATAATTGCAAAAGTAAATAGCTCAAAAATATTCTGTTCCAAAAATAAGAGTTTTTCACCTCCAAATTTTCACGTCATGATCGAGCACCCTTATCTCAGACCGATTTTGATTACTTATACTTGGCTTGTGTCACATGGGTTCAATACTGTCTTCTGAATCTGATTGGTTAGCTTAAACCGCATTGTGATTGTCACAAGGCTTTGAACACGTGATTTACAACACGTGTCACGGGGCTTTGAACACGTGATTTACAGCACGCGTCACGAGGCTTTGAACACGTGATTTGCAACACGTGTCACGAGGCTTTGAACACGTGATTTACAGCACGTGTCACGAGGCTTTGAACACGTGATTAACAACACGTGTCACGAGGCTTTGAACACGTGATTTACGCGCTCATGATCCACTAACTCGGACTGGTTCTGGCACCATACTCCGCAGAACTTGCAGATGTTAAGATCCATATGTTGAGCTTGGTGGGTGAGTAGCTTGCGTTGGGTGGAGAATGTCTTGGTGCAGAAGTGGCACACTTTATCAGCCTGACTTGCACTTGCACCGTCTGAAAATTAGACATTTTTAGTAGAGGCTTTTATTTTGGTCATTTTATAGACCCCTCTCCACTTTTATAATCATCTGTAAGTTTATAAACTTAAAGCTATTGTGTAGAAATTACACCAGCGTAACCATTTTTAAACTGTCTCCCCCTTAAGCTGCTTACGTTAAATGTGGACGATTCCTTAGGCCCTGGCAAGCGCCCCTTCTGAAATGGGGAGACATTCGGTCAGCTTATACCATTTATAAGGAGCAATTATATATTTGGCTGTTCACTGTTTGTTAGTATGATTATGGTACAAGTCGACCTTAACATTGATAAAGCTCTGAAGAGGCAGTCGAATGATGCATAATTTCTACTTAAAGTTGAATGAGCAATTTGATCCAATTCAAACGAAACTAAGTTTCTACGGCCGGTTAAATCATAAATAACCATATGAAAATAAAATAATTCACCCAGCTAAAAAACAGTTAAATAATAAAATCTGAAAAGATCGACCTACTTAGTTTAGCGTTAGCCTCCAGAATCTCCTGGTTATGAGTGTTAATATGTTTTAGGTAGTCAGCTTCAAGACAGAACTTCTTGAAACAGAGCGTACAGGTTCGGGGTGCCACAAAGTCTTTACTGTTAGCCGTGTTCCTTCTGAGGAGAGATATGTTCATTGTGAATGGTTCATGTTGGGAGAATCATTACCACCCGCGTGAGTCTAGGATAATATTTTTACATACCTTACTCGGGAATATTATAACCGGGATAAAGTGGTGGGTTTTTGAAGATTCCGCCATATTTTTCCCGGTCAAAAATTTTACCAGTCATAAAAAAACCCGCCGACTCAGATTATGGGGTTCCAAGGGGGTGGTGATCATCATATTTTACCTGAAGTCTCATATGTGCGAGAGAAGACTTTTGAAGCAGTCATGGATGGAGGGCTGTAACTTTATTGGCGGTTGCTACCATAATTTCGTTATAAAAATCACAATTTGGTTATAGAAATCAGATTTCAGGGTAGACCGTGATTCTCACTTCTCTTGCCCATGAATCAGTGAATCGTAGAGAAGAAAACAATTTATATGTTATAGAAGAAAACGAAAATAATAATAATATATAATACATATTATAATAATAATATACGTAACTGGTTAAAATTAATTAAAAAACAAACAAATGATGTCATCCTCTCGTCAAATGAAAAACTGTTGCATATGTACACAATTTATTTTTAAAAATGATTATTAGCGCTCTATCATAATCAGTGCAGGGGGCATTAGCGATAATGAGAATGAGAATACGCTTTATTGAAGATTTGACTTATTATTGCTTACATTTATTTTCCTTTAAATAGACGTGTCTTTTTTTCTATTTCTGAGTAATATCAATAACTGTAAATTGAAATAACTTCTTTAACAAGTAACAAAAACAGAAATTTCGGTTGAAAATTTGTTGACCTCTGAAAAAAAACTTGAAAGGTCGGCCACCGGTAAATACATGACCGGGATAATTTGGCGGGTTTTGGGAAAGTCCGCCATATTTTCCCGGTCATTAATTTTCCCAGTCATAAATTAACCCGCTATAATATTCCCGAGTAAGGTAATCTAATAATCGTGATTTATATCTTTATATGCGTTGTGACCTATAAAGCTATAAATATTAGCGTATGTAAATCGATATCCCTGTTTGAACGGGATGGTAGCGTTATCGCTGTCACTTATCTTAGTCGAAATTCTTCTGTGCAAATATTCATTACAAATACAAGCCCGCATGACTTGCTTTAAGAATATTTCAGTACGTTTACTTGCGCATGAAGTGATAATTTGCATGTTTGCAACTTTTTTCAACGAGTAGTTGAATTTGATCGATTGATTTTATTTGTGCTTCTCTTATGAGAAAGAGAACTTTTTACCGTGAAATCTAAAAAATATCTTGTTTTGCTTTTTTTCTTTTTGTAAGGCTAAGTAACGATATCTCATCAGGTAATGCAAATAAAACTACCAGAGGAGAAGTAAGAAGCTAAACAACCTGCAAGTTCGGATGAAATAAAAGTGATTGTTGCACCTGCAGACAATCCTCCTTTCTTCGTACAGAGTCATGAGATAACGCGATGGAGTGACGAATTTAATAAAAAGATTGAAAACGGGGTACTATGGCTGATTGATGGATTCAATGGAAATTGGAATGAAGTTTCGGACTGTATTAGCTTATTGAAAGGATGGGAAGTCGAAGTAACGTTCGACAATATCAAGGTTATAACAACATTTGCACTGACATTTGATATTGTTTAGCTTATCGAGGAGATTAATAATTGGTTCAAAATTTATCTAAAGGCAGAGAACTTTGGGAGGATCTTGAGAACAATTCACACGCTCAGAAAATTAGGATTTTCAGAGGAAAGGCTCACTAACAAAGTTACAGTAACTCAGATAGTGTTGGATTTTGTGAACAGCTCTGGAAAAGAAAATTTCAAAAACATTCTCACTGTAGAGTTCAACGATTTCGATAAAATCATTTTAAACACGCTATTGAAAGCAGAAAACAACCATTTTGATATTTTGCTGGATGTTCTGGTTGATAAGATAGACGTTAACGAGAAATGTAAAACAGTACTCGATTTACTTGGAAAGATCCTGAAATCAGACGAAGCAGACGTGCTATGTGTGTTCTCGCTGCAAGTTAGTGGATATTGAGATAAATCGGCACACTACTAGTTACCATAGTAACGGATATTGAGATAGTTAAATCACACTTTGCCAACTCGATTAAAGGTTTGTTTCAAACAAGCAACGTGGCTCCATATAATATAAGATTGGAACTATTGCGTCGGACTCGATGTTGGAGACAATATTCGATTAAAAACCGTAACCTAGAGTGTTGGCACTTCGCAGAAATAGTGCTTGACTGGATTGAGGTGAACGACCTTGACTTTTCTCTAAATTCCCTAAAGCCGAAACGAGACTATGATTTTAGAATACTTGATGAGTTGCGATCTATAGTTTATGACGATCTTAACAGGAACATGTCGAAACAGTGCAGAATTTTACGAATATTCAGTTCATATGAAGATAAAATTCGATAAAATATGCTCTTCAGCCCTTCCCAGTTATCATTAAAGGATGATCAATTGGTTGATGCTTTGATGGCGTCACCGGTGCATTTGAGGCGACTATTCCAATCAGTAACTGGATCTTTCGCCAGAATTGTAATGTTTTCTTTACGTATTTTCACTATTTTAGAGATTGCGTTTCTCCTTTATGTCATTGCATCTAGCATTGCAGAAGAGATTTTAAAAATGTAGAGATGCAGTTGACCAAGTCACATTAACTTAAGACTAGCTAATTATTCTGTAGTGACAGTTCATCCTTATTTTAAATCTATGGTACGGTTTTTACCTTCAGGTTGAATTGAAACTCTTTAATTTGAACGGTTAGGATTTTACTTGAGAAATGCCCGTTTTTAGGGGGGGGGGGGGGGTACCACCCCCCCTCCGTATATTATCTTTGCTACCGCAAATGAATTTCATTCAGATACTGTATTTGTATCTACTTTCACGAGAACTCACGGTGAATTAGTAGATTTTTTAAACACCTTTTTTTAAACACCTAAAATTAGATTATTCTAATTTCTTGGAAATACACAGCAAGCATCGATTATAAGTCTATTCTTGTAGTATCATTTTTGTATTCGACTGATTTGATTCAATTGAAAGGTTCCATAACAAAATTTTTCTAATTTGTAGAAGAACTAAAATGTGTATTACTTAACCAAAGAGCTAAAAAATTAAATAAATTAAAATAATAAATAATTAAAATAAATAATATGAAAGTCTAACCTAGACTGGTGGTTTTGGAGGCCGAGAGAAGTAGGAAATGATTTCTGACACGCCTCACAGCGTACTCCCAACATACTGCCGTGTAGTGCTTTGTGTCGTGTTATATCTCCTTCAAACCCAAACGAATAGAAACACCTGACACGTGACAGTTAGTGACACGTGACAGTTAATGACCGATCAGCAGAAAGTCTGTTTTAAGTCTGACTACGTTATTTTATAAAGTGTATATTTTCTAGAAACGTTTTGGAAAAATAAAATACTCCAATAGCAATGCAATGATATATTATTCCAACTAATCATTAAACTTCAATTGGCCAGCTAATTAACTAATTACCTTACTAATTATCTAATTAGCTGCACAGTACCTGGGACACCTGAGGGAGACCCTGTTGGAGCACTTTATCCTGTGACTATCCAACTGGAACTGCACTCCAAACACTCTCCCACACGTCTCACACAATGTCCCCCACGCACTCTTGTTACCTGGCAGGGTAGCGTGACGTCACGTGACGTGTGACGTCACGTGACGTCACACGTGACATCACGCGGCGTTACTCGAGGGAGGACCCCGGGTTATCTAGTCCAGTCTGACCACTTTATTTTAATACTTTCAGCACTACTATATGACGAATAATTTGAGGAAGCGATGGTGACACACAAGGTGACACACAAGGTGACACACAGGGTGACAGACAGGGTGACAGACAGGGTGACATACAGGGTGACACACAAGGTGACACACAGGGTGACAGACAGGGTGACAGACAGGGTGACATACAGGGTGACACACAGGGTGACACACAGGGTGACACACAGGGTGACAGACAGGGTGACAGACAGGGTGACAGACATGGTGACAGACAGGGTGACAGACAGGGTGACAGACAGGGTGACAGACAGGGTGACACACAGGGTGATACACAGGGTGACACACAAGGTGACACACAGGGTGACACACAGGGTGACACACAGGGTGACACACAGGGTGACACACAGGGTGACACACAGGGTGACACACAGGATGACACACAGGGTGACACACAGGGTGACACACAGTGTAAAAGTAACACACAGGGTGACACACAGGGTGACACACAGGGTGACACAATTTACACATGAATTATGATTGATGAATGATGATGAATATTAGGGAGACCCCGTAACAGTTCCTGAAGATAGTAAAACGTAAATGTGGCAGATCTGAGAGAAAAAGGATCTGAACCCCAGTATAATTGATATAATATTTAACTATTCAGTTGCATAGTAGTGTCCGAATTGCACTGATTCTAGCCCGAGTAGTGTTCGAAAGGGCGCCCTGTTTTGACATACCTCCTGAGCCGGTACTCATTTCCTCTCTGAGCTAGCTAGTGTATATCAGTTTCTTGTTGGTGTTTTGTCTGTGTTTGTTTGTCCGTAGTAGGAATTTACTGTAACTTTGGAGACTGGGCGCAGTAATGTCCCAGAGGGTTTGTAACATCATGGATGCTGACTAAGCTTACCTGATCCTCTCCAACTTGTATTAGTACACTACTTCATTCACACCAGTCATTTCACTACATTAAACTGATTGAGGTTAAATGCCCTTTGTACATGCTGAAGCGATATGCTATGATGAGTGGAATATGAGTTAGGATCAGTTTGGTCCGTTTCATGGCAAAAACATTTATTGATTTAATATTTAACTAACCATCTGGATGGTTTAGTTCTACATGTTTATCGTAGTGAGCTTGAACACAGAACGCCATTTTACACATCTCGCAACACTTTAGTGACCTGATAACCGGATGGTTAGATAAAACCAACAAAGTTGCCAAAAGGTATAAATGTGACGTTCTAGGCTGATTGACGCAAATTTTTAATCTAAAAGGAATTTAATGATTTGAGTTGCTGCAATAGTCCCTTAAACTTTAATTTGTTGATCTCTTCTAACATATTTAGGTAATTGTATTTGTACTACATCGGGACTTTATTTCTCATTATCTTCAGTTAACTATTCAGTTTATTCAGTTAATTATTGAGACACTAACTGGAAATGCTGGTCCATCTGTTGAGCGGAGTTAAAGGAAGAGTTACACTGTCTACAGTACGGGTTCTTGAGAGCAGGGGGTGCAATGTAAAGAGTACACCCTCCTTCGTTCATGCGTTTAAATAACATGTCGTTACTGATGATACTCTCCGGGAGCCGAACTAGCTGACCTGGGGGAGCGGGGGTTTTATTGATTAACTTATCGGACTTTTGAACGGACATTAATTGGACGCTGGAGGAATGTCCGATCAAATAACGTCTGATGAGGTAGAAGCTTGTCCGACAGTTATACCGCTAATTAAGACATTAATTGACAAATAATTTTGTGAATTGTAATTAACTGACTAATGTTGCAATCCAGAGAAATTATATTCTGTGCCATTTGAGTCTTCACCATGCGACCTATGCGACTATGCGACCTATGCGACTATACGACTATCCAACCTATGCGACCTAAGGTAGCTTATACTAACCAGCAACTAGCGTGTTATCAGATCCGTGGCCCACTGTAGCCACGATCTGACCAGGTGCCATTACACCTCCACTATTAGAAACCATGGGTACTGGCATAGCCATTATCTGAGGAGATGATGACGTCATCATTGGTCCTGATGACGTCATCATTAGAGAGGGAGATGACGTGATGATCATGCCGCTTTGAGGTGAGGTTAGGAGAGGTTGGAGGAGGTTGGAGCTGCACTGAGATGAGGTTAGGGGAGTGTTTGAGACGAGGGGTGGGAGGTCGCTGACAACAGTCGTGTTGGGTGGTAAACTGTCTAATTCAGAGGTAAACGGTAAATTCGCTGAGGTTTGAGGTTGGGTGTATGAGGTTTGAGGTTGAGAGTCTTTTTCTTTCATTGATTCCGCTTTTATTTCACCTGGTGTGGAAAATTGGGGTTAGTTATAACAGTGAAGAGCGTTATTTTATCATACATTTTATGATCGTTCGTTTCGTGGATACAATCTCGATATCAACTGTACAGTCACATATATCTCAGCTATTAAATTGAACACACCAAAAACTAGTCCTAGATATTTTTAAATCCGCCAAATTGCATGTTAAAAGGGTGCCAAGAACTATAAATGTTTCGCACTTGAAGTTGAAGCCACTGTTTTACCGAGAAATAATTTCATCGAACTAACTCTGCGTCATTGAGTTTGAGTGGTAATTTATAGCAATGTCTCGGCTGCGTTTAGTACTGGGTAAAAAGCGACCAGTGCACTTCTTGAAAAGTAGGGTCTGACGGGAGATGAACTATATTTTTTCTGACACACGGCAGCAATTAACCAATCAGTCAATTCAACCATGCAGACCAATCAAAACCAAGGGTCACGTTTCAAAACAAATCGTACATCTCTTCATGTTCACAGGACAATTAATCTGCTCTAGCTAAATAACGGTTTAGCCATGTCTCGGCTACAAAGCTATCCCCAAACGCGGGGTCTAGTGTCGGGGGAAGTGAACAATTTTTTCCTGACAGCGAAACCCCAATCAGCTTCCAAGGTCCAGCATTGACCTATCAATCTAATCCTAGAATCACTGTAATAATCCCAAAACTTCACTAACCTTCCCCACTTGGTCCCATCAGACTATTCACAAGGTCTTGCAGAAGGTCTGGCTCGTTTATCAACTTTTGTAACACATCCTGCAATTCCTCATTTATTCTGGATGTTTCCGAGCTCAATTCTGTTCTGGAATCTTCTTCTTCGCATTCCTCGCTCTGTGAAACGTCCTGTTTGAGTGGTATCAAATAAGATTAATAGCCACTCATTTAAGATCCATTTTAATTCCCATATTCAATGGTTGTTCACATATCCGAAAGTTTACCACTATCAGATTGGAATTTAGTGGAATCCGAATTAATATCATTCTAGAGGGTAAAATTAAAATTCTGATTACGTAATCAACAGCAATCCGTCATCATTCGGAAACCCAAATTACGTAATATTACGTAATATGTTAACAACCCTTAACATATGACTTGAAAATTGGATGTTGGGAGACTTAATCTGTCAATTCATTTTGACAAACTGAAGTGCCGCTACAGACTACGCCGATTATTACCATCATATTCGCACTCTTAAAACCCGCATTACTTAAATAAAATTATATTCGAGACTTGCGAAGAGCTCTGCAGTGACCCGGTGACCGTTAAACGAACGAGCAATTTGTCCATTTCAGCGAGTGATCATCAGATCATGTGACCCAATCACGAGGTGTCATGTTAACCTGGTGATGAATCACGTGGTGTCATGGCAACCTGGTGATGAATCACGTGACCAGTCGTATGAGATGTTAAAGTTTATGCCATACTGGGAACCTTCCTCAACCCATTATCTCGACAAGTCGACACGAGGCATTTAATTGGAAGGGGATAAAATCTTAAACTGTTATAATATAGCGATTGGGAGTCGTTAGTGCCGTTGAGTCACGGTGTGGCGGAGAGGGATTTAATGATTGGTGTATGCAGCAAAGTTGAGACACTAAATAAGAATTAAGCAAGCTTGAGAGGGATTTAATGATTGGTGTATGCAGCAAAGTTGAGACACTAAATAAGCATTAAGCAAGCTTGAGAGGGATTTAATGATTGGTGTATGCAGCAATGTTGAGACACTAAATAAGCATTAAGCAAGCTTGAATTTGAGAGGGAATGTCGAGATCGGTAGCTATATGGGTTATATAGTAGTGTTGAAAGTATTAAAACAAATAATTTGAGATCATGAATACGATGTTGTCACATTGAAACGTTGAATAGGTAATTCCTTTCCTCATAAGATTGGTAAGTGCCTTTTTCAAACGGGATCAATAGAAATTTACCCAAGAAAACACAGTAATGAATATGATATATAATTGCATATAAATGAGCTTCACGATAACTGCTTGACATTTCCTCATTTCAAAAGTTCAAATAACCCGCAAGTTATCGATTTCTTCTTAAGCTTGCTAGTAGATATAATATAGAGTGTTAAATCAAATTACATAAATCGAGACGATATAGGTATATCTGTTGCCATTTTACTGAGACCACGACATTAACTTTAATATGACTTCCCGTATAGTAACCGAAGACATCCAGAAACTTTTAAATTTAAGTTGCTATCTCAAAGCTTTCATATTTTTTGACGAAAATAGCTTTTTTAAAAAGAAAGGTGCAGGCCACACCCACTATAAACGACGACACCTTTTTACTTTTACAAAATCTAAGTTGGATCCATATCTGCGACCCTTCAAATTTTTCAGCAATTCTGACTAGAATTAGTATTACGTACGTTATTTAAGGGTGACCTGTGGGTAATGAGTCAGCTGGCCCACCCTGTAGCTGAAGAAGTGATTAAACAAGTGATATGTCACATACTCAGAGCAGGTTATATTTCTTGAAAGCCATTAATTCTATCAAGTTCTTCTTAAATAATAAAAACATAAAATGATAACCAAGATTCTGACCAGTATAGAAGATATATCAGGCGCGTTGTTATCTACGTCCAGTATGATATCCTGTGTTTCCACTTCCGGTTGTAGTGATGTGGATGATACTGAGCGTGATCTACCTGCAGAGGTTATCAACATCATCACACTGTAATTCTAAGATTAATTCTTATATAAATATATCTGGCGGGGAGGTAAAGGGGAGTTGACACTATTTGTTGTATTTAGTGCAGGCTCCAAGCAGAGCCCGCAAGAAAGGCCCTGACCCAGCTGAGTTGAACACATGTACTAATGTACTAATGTATCCTTTGTGCTATTGGACGGAGAATACATGATGTGCTGTATCTTAATTATCGGTGTGGTCTTTGATCGCCGCTACAACCACTCTAATTGGGACAAGTTTGGAATCAAGGAGCAGTTCTGCTTCACCAAGCCGTTTTGTCACTTCATATATTTATCATCAAGTTGCTTTGTCACTTTGTCGCTTTGTCGCATGTTAGCTCACTCATATCTCGTGATGTTGGTGTGTAACAATGCAGGTAAATGTTTTGTTGTTTGGGGACCGGTTTTTGGTACCCGGCCAATGTTTACAAAATAATATAATACATAACAATATAATTTTATTTAATATGCGTGAATATGAAATTGAAAATGTTGATTACGTCTATTCATTAAAAACAAAAACAGAAACTTTAAAAATTAAAACTTGTATATCATGATTTATTAACATAGTGACAATTAATTTGATTTGATACGACAGATGATCACACGCACTGTTTTATAAGCTACTTGTGTCAGATTACTGATCTAAATCCTTCCTTGGATTGAGTCTAGGTTTTAGCTGCATTGAATTATGTAGATTTTAAGGAGTATGATCGCAGGTGTACTTTGTGGCACACTTACACCACTTAGCAATGATTGTGGCCCTTAAACAACAGTTTGTGATCTACTCTCAGGAATTACTAAATAGGGTATTTAGGGGCTATGTAGATAAGCAGGCTAACCAGAAGAAGGCAGACTCAGTGATTATCTACAAATCTACATAATTGCACCTGAAACCGAATCTACAGTGCGTCTGACGAATAATATAGGCGGTAAAACCACTTTTAGTATGATAATTAGTAAAGATCGTTAATTAGCGAGCACTACTGAATAGCGGTTATGTTTATAGGAAAAGAGACTTACTTTCAGATTTCCTATTTTTTAGAAGAGTAGGCAGGTCTTGATCCAAATCCATCGTGTATTCGGGACTGTTCAGTTCCTTTATCAACTCCCGGCGTATCTGTAAGCAGATTATATGTTGTAACGTGATGCCCTTAGGTAAGGTAACACAAGACACGTGATACTCGCTAGTTATCGGCTAGGTCACGTGCCTCGTGATATCTGTACTCATGAATTTGAAGGGTTTCTAAGAAAAGTTTTGCGGATTTGAAATATGATGACTATTTGTGACTAGTTTATATTGGTGCTAAAACTCTAAAAGTAAGCTGAACGACGCTGTCAGAAATGGTGGAAAATTAATACAAGAGTTGCTCTTGAATTCTTGAACGGTACCTAACAGTGTTAAACGGTACCTTAAACAGTACTTAACGGTACCTTGTAACCCCCCCCCCCCCTTAAACGGTTTCTTGTAACCCCCCCCCCCCTTTAAACGGTACCTTGTAACCCCCCCCCCCTTAAACAGTACCTTGTAAACCCCCCCCCCCCCCCCCCCCCTTAAACGGCACCTTGTAACTGTTTTTACCTTGTAACTGTTCTTACCTTGTAACTGTTCTTAGCACCAGTCTTCAGCTTCCTCATTAACTCTATCGTCCTAGCCTCACCTAAAACACATTACCTTTATAAGCTCGTGATTTGAAGCAAGCAATTTATTCGACTTAGTGTATACTGTTGAAGTCGTTATATTTTGCTACAGTTTGATAAGTAAATGAATAATTTCGCAAGTCGTGAAATCAAGTTCTCAAGTTAAGTGATCGAAAAGTTCAAGTTGAGATTTGATAAAGCTCACAGCCATTTATTGAACTGTTTCAATTTCGTGTGCACTCAGATTGAAAATAGTCACGTGACCTGTGAAATGACTCATTTCAACTGTGAAGTGTGAGTTCAATATTTGATTGGTGGTTTCTAAGAAAAATTAGAACTATTCTGATTTAGGAGGGTGATTATGACCGAATCACCTAATTTAAGATGGTGATTATGACTGACTCAACTAATTCAAGAGGGTGATTATGACTGACTCGCCTAATTCAGGAAGGTTATTATAACTGGCTCACATAATTCAGGATGGTGATTATGATTGGCTCACCTAATTATGACTGGCTCACCTAATCTAGGAGGATGATTAAGTTGAGATTTGATAAAGATTTGATAAAGCTCACAGCCATTTATTGAACTGTTTTAATTTCGTGTGCACTCAGATTGAAAATAGTCACGTGACCTGTGAAATGACTCATTTCAACTGCGAAGTGTGAGTTCAATATTTGATTGGTGGTTTCTAAGAAAAATTAGAACTATTCTGATTTAGGAGGGTGATTATGACCGAATCACCTAATTTAAGATGGTGATTATGACTGACTCAACTAATTCAAGAGGGTGATTATGACTGACTCGCCTAATTCAGGAAGGTTATTATGATTGGCTCACCTAATTCAGGATGATGATTATGACTGGCCCACCTAATTTATGATGGTGATTATGACTGGCTCACCTAATTCAGGATGTTAATTATGACTGGCTCATTTAATTCAGGATGATGATTATGACTGGCTCACCTAATTTATGAGTTTATGATGGTGATTATGACTGACTCACCTAATTCAGGATGGTGATTATGACTGACTCACCTAATTCAGGATGATGATTATGACTGGCTCACCTAATTGAGGATGGTGATTATGACTGACTCACCTAATTCAGGATGGTGATTATGACTGGCTCACCTAATCTAGGAGGATGATTATGACTGACTCACCTAATTCAGGATAGTGATTATGACTGACTCACCTAATTCAGGATGGTGATTATGACTGACTCACCTTATTGAGGAGGGTGATTATAACTGGCTCACCTAATTTAGGAGGGTGATTATGACTGGCTCACCTAATTTAGGAGGGTGATTACTGATTATGACTGGCTCACTTAATTTAGGAGGGTGATTATAACTGGCTCACCTAATTTAGGATGGTGATTATGACTGACTCACCTAATTCAGGATGGTGATTATGACTGACTCACCTAATTTAGGATGGTGATTATGACTGGCTCGCCTAATTTAGGATGGTGATTATGACTGGCTCACCTAATTCAGGATGGTGATTATGACTGGCTCACCTAATTTAGGAGGGTGATTATGATCCACAGTTATCTCCACATGATCGCTAGTACTACCCTCACAGTAGTAAACCCTTGTATAACAGTTCAGCTTGTACTTGGCTCTACAGGCCCAAGTAGAGCCTTTACCTGAGGAAGTTTAGTGTAATTTGAGATTGAGCAGAAGTGCAGGGTTATAATAGCTCGGTGTGTATTATTAGTATAATAGCCCATATTAGGGGTTACAGGTATAATATAGTTATTATTATAGGTGGTGTTGTGTGATTAATAGGGGTGTAGTCAGTTTAGTGGGGTACTGGCCGGGTTAAGTTTGTCGAGCAAACTGAGGTGAAATCTCACCAATAGGAGTGATGAAACAATAAGTTGGTCGGTTAAAGCAAATATTTAAATTTCCAAGATCCTATATTTGCTAATGCCTAGTCGATCTTAACATGCAGTTTATATATATAGATCTTGAATATAAATACTAGGAAAAAGAGCTACTTTATTAATCAGTAATAAGGGTAAAACAGGGCAAAATGATGATATAACGACACGTTAAATCTATAACTAACCAGTTTCTCTCAGGTAATTGTAAAGATAACCATCCTGATCTATTAGAATCTTTCCACCACGCTGAGATTTCAGTATCTTCTTGAAAATAGGCATGATTCCGGGGTGGTTCCAACTGGGAGAACCCTTTAATTGTTGGGCTGTTATAGCAGTTATACAGGTCATACATTACAAGACACATTATATATTCATGTCTTTTCAACACCATGCGGACGCGTGTTTGGATTTCAAAATTGCTTATGTCATTACACTCTTTATATGGGATCAATACGATTTATTAGCCGATGAAACTTAATTTAGTTGGACAATAATAGCTGCTGAAATGAGTAATTAAGCACCCGGATTGAACAAACACGATGGGAAAGTTTCACAATGCTAGCAGGATAAGGTGAAAGGGGACGGCTACAATAGAGGGAGTCTAATTCGCACAACGAAACAAATACACCTAGCCACACAAGAGACCAGCTCTGCTCAAGATATCACCCTTTAACCCGGCGATGGGCTCTCACTGGTCCATACAGGTCACATGATCTTACTTGAGCTGGTCACGCGCTCGCGTACTGTCACGTGTTAGCGATCAGCTGAGTCACACGCGCACTTAGCCGGCCTATATGCGAACTGGCACGTGGGGTCACGTGACCGCGTGGTCTCATCACCTGACCACTCGCGTGGCTCATTACGGCTATTAAAAGTTGGAAATATGCTCTGCCTCGCTGTCTAGAGTCACGTGACTATCGCGAGAACACTGATGACCAATATACTGGCGGGTTGCTACCGTACTCGCTTATATAGGGAAAACATTATATATTGCGAAATTGAACCAGGTGTCACGTGTTACTGGACTGCCAATCCGATCGCTCTGTTCAGGTAGCGTGATCAGCTGAATGGACGAATTTTACTAAGAGAGGATTATACACATTATATAATATACGGAGAGTGTAGTTATGAGCTATAAGCTTTAAGATGCATTGGTTAGCATAATCTCCATATTTGGTGAGGACACGTGACCAAAGCTTATACCATATGCGAGGATTGCTTGCGGAGGTGGACGCGATCCTGCTCCCAGGATTTGCTAGTTCGTTCACTTCAGGATAATTTCACCTGTCCAAGTGCTGTTGAATATTTGATGTTTAGGGAGGTGAGATGTTTTCATAATTTGGTGGCCATCACACGTAATTCACTCATCTGCAGCGTATTTAATATGCTGGTTTCGTATCGAGCCCCCACAATTGGTTGGTTGGAATCCCGTGGTGCGGCTACTGTGGCCTTATTGGCTGGTTTATCATTATGTCAAGTGGTGTGTGTATGTGTGTGCATACAGTCCTATTCACTATTGTCATTGATTAATTTGGATCAGTATCACGTGTTCAACTTCATACACGGCCGATGACAGACGCTGCAATAAGATTAAGAGGCGTTTTTTGTTCTAACCATGAAATTTCCTTGAAAGGAAACAACCACAAAGCATGAATGGTCTTTAAATCAGTCTTTAAAATGAGAACTCAGTGAATATTTTCGTAACGCACGATCATATTTATTCCAAAAATTCGAGTCGGTAATGTTTCAATGAAAATTCGATATCTTTGACGGATTTTAACACCGCGTACACTGTCGTGAACTTAAAGTTAATGTACTTGTAGCTAATATATGCAAGTCATTGAATAACTTATCGGCTATAATTCGGTCGAGGTCGACTAAAATAACGATGGACTAAATACAAATTTGGGCGGTTAAAAGTATAATGTGCGGCCGTTTGCGTCCACGTACGTTACAGTGTAACGTACACTTACACTTTACAGGACTTAACTTATCAGACTTTATTTGAACGGACATTATGTGAACGCTGAAAGCCCTAGCGTTCATTTTTTATTTCTGTCAAAGTTAAAGTCTGTTCAAATTTCCCCCAAAAGTATTCCTCTACAAACATTTCAATTTTCATCTTATAGGGCCGGCCGCATGACTACTTTTTCATTACGAATTTGAAAGGTTTTGAAATATCTTCGAGCGTTCATAATCATATTAATGTCTGTTTAGAATTATGGTCGTTCACAAATTACAGTAAACAGTAAAACCCCGATTTACTGCAAACCCCGATTTACTGCGAACCCCGATTTGGTGATTTACTGCAAACCCCGATTTGCCGCGGCTATTTCCTTCCCCCAAATAGGGCTTAACATGTATATTGTAAGCAACTGCAAAACATCGATTTACCGCTGAGGTTTCCTTTCCCCCAAACTCCGCGGTAAATTGGGCATTACTGTAATACGTCCGATAAGGTATAATATTGCAATATAAATATATTATAATCCTAAAATCAGTGCAGTTCGATCACATCTCCATTTTATCAAACTTTTCTTTCAAACCCTGGTACGGTGTCGACCAAAAGCCTAGTTTACAAATCCTTGAGGGTAAAACAGATCACTGGACGGATTTACGTCTTTATATATTGGTCAATTACATTTACAAGATTTGTCGAAAAGTTGGTTGAAAAAACAATTGAACGATGTTATTTTCGTCCAATACTATTTTGCCCACTTGAAGTTGACCGGTACCAGACGTGCTTCTCGTCAGAAACAACGAGCGGACTCGGAGCCAATCACTGCGCCCACCCTTACACCCTAAAAAATTCCACTACTCTGGCAATTGCACTGAACCATTTAATTGTGTAAATAGTTATACTTACTAAGTCTAAGTGAAAGTCTAACTATATTCACTTAGTGTTGATTTAGTAATAGTATTAACTTTTGACCCTGCAGCATTTTTGATTGAAAGTCTTGTTTCGATTTTATTTTATCGATTCAACTTCAAGTTGGGCATTGTAAGTGTAACCGAATTACAAACTTAAACTAGGGTGTTTCGTTTAACGGGTGCATTAGCATACTCGTTAAATATTTGTTCAAGACTGTCGACTAGTCCAACTCAGCGCGCGTCTTGGTACGGTTATAGGTTATAAATATAAACCTACAATTTCATGACATTGTTTCGTTTGACTCTAATCGTAATAAATTACATTTTTATTAAATCTTTGTATTACTACTACTACTCTGTATGTAATAGTACCAGTATTATTTTGTTTCACGTCGCGTCGTGACCCCCACTTTTATTTCACTTATAGTGCCAGTGAGTGTCAGTCGTAGCTATAGTCGCGTCGTATTGCCAGATTCGCGAGAAATTTCAGGTGCAATAATTGAACGAAAAGAACTCGATCTAGATAGTTACTGCGTGTGTCATGGTATATATACCATGACACACGCAGACTCTATATATACTTATTATATATTATATATAGTAATAGAGTCACATTTAGAAGGTTCTAGACTATTTAGTAGAGGCTCTCACGGGCATTGTCTGCTCGATACGCTAGGGACCCCAGATACACCTTACTAGACGTATTTTTGACCGTAGAATCGATTAAAAGTGATTTTAAGATGATTGGACTGACTTTTTGGGGGTAAAATTGCAAAAAACCGATTTTTGGGCCAAAAATAGGCCAAAAAACCATGTTTTTTTGATATTTTGAACAAGTTAATTTTGTTGGCATGTCGGCAAAACTTGCATGGAGATAGCTAAAACACAGCCGCACAAGATGATATAAAAATTTGAAAAATCCCTCTATTTTTTTGGGGGTAAAAATCCAAAAAAGTGGTAAAAATTTGACTTTTTTTGCTTGAAGTTTGAATAATTTTTTGCAGTTGTATTAAATCAACCCAAAAATAGTCACATCGTGTTTGCCTAAATTTTTCCTTTCCGAGAAGTACCCACTTCATATACTTTATCGAAGTTTGAATATTGTCACTCCGCAAGCTTTTTTGCCAAATTTTCGACGCGCACTACGCGCAAAAGCATTTAGTTGTTATCAATTGGCAGCCGCGCGTTCATCATAAATTTCAAACAGCTATAACTCAGCGAGATTATGTCCGTTCTAGCTCATATTTTCACACTAAGTAGAAAATAATGTGATCTTATTGCTGACAAAATATGAATATAATTACTCTATTTGCCTTAGAGTAATAGACTGTCAAAGTTTAAAACGCGCATTGGTATAGCACGTGACTAATAAGGCCAAATTTATACTTCTTAACATATTATCGATCCTTAGACATCATACTATTGTGTCCAATTAGCGGTTAGGTCTCTAAACTCGTAGCAGAAAACACGTCTTTTTGCCCGTAAGAGCCTCTACTAATTTGACCTTTTAATTTTATGACAATCTTCCTCGATGACTTGATCGTCATTAACAAGCAAGCTAAATTTTTACTTTTTACAGTTTTCTTACTTACAGTTGCAATTTTCTTACTTGAAAAATTGTTCCAAATTAAATCAGTTATTTTAATTAGAAGCCGGCATTTTAATTTAAAAACATATCCCAAATTTAATTTTACCCACAAAACCTTACTAGCTGGATGAGGTATATCTCCGAAAGTAAAAAAGATACGGCCGGGTGGTGTAGTGGTAATTCACTTGCCTCCCAAGCGGAAGACCGGGGTTCAAACCCCGTCTGAGGCAGGCAGGCCAGGTCACCAAGCTGTGATTGGTACAGGATTTATCCTGGTAATTATGCTCGGAGGATATCAGTGACGCGATTCCCACTACAGTGTAAGCTGCAGTGTAGCTGTAAAGTCTACCGCCATTCGGAATGAGTGTGAACTTGCATACCAGGCAATCATGATTTCCGCTTGGTTCTCATCAGGTCTCTAAGAAAGCCAACAGTGTGCTGATATGCACTGTCATATGTACTTCCTAGAAGCAGCACACGGCCCATTTCGGACTTGCACGAGTTATAATTATAATTATATTAAAAAAGATAACGACTTCCGGTTTTTTGCATAATGTTCGTCTTGTAAAAGTAACGTTACCTCCCCGGCCCAAGAGGAAAATTGGGGCTTCTCATTTTAAAAAGTTATTACAGATAAATTATTATTAAGATAAATTTGAAGCTAATATTATTGTTATATCATGATAGAGTGCTTAAAAGCATTATATTGTTATGTCTTAAATTTTAATCAACTGTTAATAAAATTCTTAATAAGATAGACTGTGATCAAATTTACTTTCACATGTGATCAAATTTACTTTCACATTCTGAACATGAAGTTGAACTGTACTGATAACCAAAAACTATACATAGTATCAAAGATAATG